TCCCCCTGTGCTCGCTACTCCCACCAGACCCGTTTGGGGCCCAGAGCTTTACGCTATGGCAACAGACTTTTCATAAAGGGAAGGCATTTTTTCTCAAGAATAAAAATACTACGTTGAACACGGTGTTCTAAAAGCTTCAAATTATGGAGGTACATTTATTATTTATGCTTTCATAACAGCCCCTTCGTATTGTAAAATCAGAGATTATTTCCAAAATTTTTGTGGAGTAAAACTACGGCACTCAGGATGGTGGAGAACTCATGATCAGGGGTCACAGCTGAACTGTGAGGCACCCCCCACCCCCAGACCCAGCCCCCCACTCCAGCCCCCAACCCCAGGACATCAGGAAGCAGGAGAGGCAAGAGACAGAGCCCAGACTCCACAGCCAGATGGGCCAGGGCTCGGCGCTGCTGTGAATAGCTCTTTGAGCAGGAAAAGTGATTCCGCCTCGCTCGGGCCCAGTTGGTTCTATTTTTCAAATGTACAAGGCTTCTAGCTCAGGGCCTGAAACAGAAGTCCTTGGGAAATAGTACTTTCCCCTGGCTTTCCAAATACTCGGTTCTCTGCCTCCTCCTCACCCTCTCCATGTGGCTGTCCAATTTAGGCATCTGAAATGTAAAAAGTCCCAAACCAAGCTCCTCTGCGTGCATTCGTGGTGCGGTGTGGCGTGCCGGCTGACCCATCCTGCCCTCTGCTGTCTCTCGGGCCCACATCCAACCAGAACATCCTGACGCCTCCACCCCCAAAACGTACCCCCACCTCTAGGACAACATCTTCACCTGTGCTCCTGCACCTGGGTCTGGTGGCTGCCCCATCTCGGAAGTGGTCTCCTTGCTTCCTCTTATGCTCAGATGGGCGGCCAGGATGACCCATTAAAAATATCAAACAGGTCCCATCACTCCTGCCCGAAGGGGCACAACGGCTCTCCCTTAGCACGGAAGGGAGAGGCACAATCCTCCCTCTGTCTGACGAGGGAGGCCTCCCTGATCTGACCCATCAGCCCCTGCCCATCCCGGGCTCTCCCCAACCTACTGCTCAAACGAGGTTCCCGAAACTTGACATTTGCTGTTCCTTAAGCCTAGGACACCATTCCACTTTCCTCCAGGCATGCTGGTGTGCCCGTTCTCTCAACTTCAGCTTTCTGCTTACACATCACCCTTTTCTTTTCTTTTAGAGAGACAGAGGCAGAGAGAAAGTGTATGCAAGTGTGAATGGGGGTGAAGGGCAGAGGGAGAGGGAGAGAATCTTACGTCGACTCCGCACTGAGCATAGAGTGTGACGCAGGGCTCCTTCTCATGACCTGAGCTGAAATCAGGGGTTGGACACCCAACCCACTGAGCCACCCAGGCACCCCAAATGTCACCTTTTCTGTAAGACTTTCCATCACCACCATTTAATTCCATTACCATTTAATATTTGAAGAGTAAAACAGTGTGTGTGCACCTGGACACACATTCCTCATCGGCTCTCACCAATTTCGTCCAGACCAAGCACGGATCACCATCGAATACGGTGTTTGCCTTACTTATTTACTGTCAGGCTCCTCCCCACTCAACTGTATACTTGCCAGGGTAGGGGCCAGGTGTCTCTTATTCTTGCAACATTCCCAACATTCAGGCAACAATCTGGCCGCCAGATTGTTCAGTTCGGTGGCAGAGTGGGTGGCTCCTCACTCTCGCCATCCGTGGCCCATGCGGTCCCTTTTGCTGAGAATCAGTGGCCCTGAAACTCCTCCGGTGGCTGCAGCTGGGGGTAAGTAAGGGTGCAGACGGCTGACCTGGGGAGGGTGGCACCCGCCAGGGAGGTGAAGTCAAGGCTCAGGGGGCACGTGGACACCCCCCACGGGCACACAATGCTACTCACGGCAGAGGTGGATGGCGGGTCGAAGCCCTTGCTGAAAGGCTTCTTACTAGAGTCTCCAGATACTGGATTTAGATGAGGGGACTCTCATATGGGATCTGAACACAAGAGCCCCAGATAACAAGATGCTGTTAAACAGAGAAAAACAAACAAGGCCAAACTGCATCAGGGTCACTCACAATGTTTATGCTGAAGGATGCCAACTGTAATTGCCTTTATGAGAAAGGAAACTCTCAGTCTTGATTCAGAGCTTTCTAAACTCATGGGTCTGGTGCTCAGGGGCTTTCTTCCTGTTCCATGACCTGGCTCCTAATTATTCCAGTTTAGAACAAAATAATTACAAAACAACAACAACAAACCCCCCAAAAACCAACCCTTTCCAAAAGAGTGCCATATGGAGAAGAGCAGAGCCTCCTTATTTTCCTTTCACCTCCGTATTTTTCCCAGGAGAGTTAGAGTGGGCATGGGAAAACCTCAGATGTTTTTATACTCCTTTGCTAGTGATAAGATAAAAACATACGGCAGCCTGCCTTGTTTGTGAGCTCCTTGAAGGCAGGTGCTGTGTTCTCGACAGTTTTGGGTAACAGCTGCATCTAATATATTCTTCTGCCCAGCAGGGGCCTAACGAGTGCTAGAAACAAACCAATGAAAGAACGAATGAACAAATAAAATGCAGCCCATTAACTCAGTTCCTCGCATTCAAGTGCCTCCATCCCCATCCTGACCTTGGCCCATGTACTCTGCTCTGCCCCAGGATCCCAAGCCTTGGGCTAGCAAGCACCCCGGGAGCACCCCCTTCCACAGATATCAGAGCTTTACCACCAGGATTAGACTATTGCTGGTACAGGCTTCAGAACGCCACCAGCACGATGGCAGGTCCTCGCCGGGACAGAATAAATGGGATTTCCCAGCTACAACGCTACGATGAGTGACCACCTGTTCCAGGGGGTTTGCTGGGTCACACTTCTCCAAGGGAGACTTGTACCTTTAAATGCATCCCGCAGGTCTCTGTTCTGGGGAAACGGGCTCTGAAATGGAACCGAGCATGCAAGAGGTTAATTTAGGGTGTGGTCTTGGGAAAGGCATCTGGAAAAGGAAGGGAAGAGGACTGGGCAGAGGGAGAAATCCAGCTGTGACTGGCTTCTCACAGCTGGCCCTACAAGATTCCACATCCCTCAGGAAGGGGGCATGGCCAGAGGCATCTGCCTCTTCACCTGTGGCCCTGCAGGCTGCACCCCCAGCAGCTGGAGTCAAAGTGCTTCACTCCCGAAGGGGAATGTGGGCACCAACCACACACAACTGCTTCGCCTCTCCAGCAAGTCAGAGTGCGATGACCACCTCCTCTGTGATGCCCTCCCAACTGACTTCTCCAACCCCCGCCCCCCCCCCGCCCCGGAGAGGTGGTAACTCTCATTCTTGTTCAACTCTTTATTTCCGGAGCCCAGCATACAAGCGACACCCAGTGGAGAGGCAATAAAGGTCTGCTGAATGAACACAACACTGCGTACTGGACATGAGCGTGAAAACGGGAATATCACAGAATCACTTTTAAAAGACTGTCGCCCGGGGGCACTTGGGTGGCTCCGTCAGTTGAGCGTTTGATTCTTGACTTCAGCTCAGGTCATGATCTCAGGGTCATGGGATCGAGCCCCACGTCGGGCTCTGTGCTGGGCATGGAGTCTGCCTGGAATCCAATCTCTCCCTCTACCCCCACCCCCCAATTAAAAAAAGGAAAAACAAAAAACCTGTACCCGAGGAGTTCAATGTAGTCAGAAAACCAAACAGAAATGACGGGGGAACTTGATAAGAGATGCACACAGAAGCACATGTATGTGCATTCCGGTCTCAACTCTGGTCTCAACTCTGCATGCCTTCAAGCTTCAATTTCCTCGTGACTTGAAAAGATAGATCCTAACATTCTAAGAAGAGACCTGAGCTGAGACACATTCAGCTTCAACAGTTTTGCTGTCTTTCTTAGTGTCATTACTGACATGAAGAAGGAAAGTAAGTGTTGATCCTGACAAGGGGAAGAGTCTGAGGGTCAGAGTGTCTCCCCCATGATGTGCTGAAGGCTTTTTCCAATTAGCCTAGAGCTAAGAGTCCCCACTCCCATCCACCCCCACTGCCCCAAAGAAGCACGCAAAGATGGGAGTAGGTGAGGAGTTTACTCTTCTGTCCATGAATGGAAACAGAAACCAACTGGAACATCTTGTGGTTTATGAAAATGCTGTGATTTTAAATCACTGAGTAGTAGTCCACCTTCACAGGGTAAGGAGCTACAGAGAAGCTGGAGGAGAGGTTTTAAACATGTAGCCAGAATGCAATTTTAAAAAGAAAACTAAGAAATAAAGAAAAAAAAAACTCACTCCCAAATTTCTCTCTCATTGCATTTGTCTAATATAGAGAAGAATGTGTAAGAATGTAATTTTAAGGAAGACATCTGGAGGAGGGATTAAAATAAAAGCCCAAGATTTGTGCTAACTTGGCACTTTTCCCATGCATTCAAGCCAGAGTCAAGTACTCCTACTGGGCTCCCAGTTCCCCACCACATAATCTCATACACCTTGATGCAGTGACAAGAGCTCCAGTAATGGCTAAGAAAAAACTAACCAGACAAGGAGGAACGTCTTATAAAGCCAATCTTCTATACCTCCTTAAAGTGATAAACCGCAACATGAATGAAAGCAAAAGCCGTTTGAACATTTTCCAACACTATAATCAATACTCATCTCTACCAACTCAAAGGTATTTCTCAGCAATCAAAGCATCATTTGATTAGAACAACAACCCAGAACTGATAAATGCAGGTAAGTCAACACTTAATTATCTGCATACAAAATATACACATTTGACCTTTATCTCTTACAGAGCGACCAAAACTGGGTTCTTCCTATGAGCCCTGACAGGACCTCTTCATTTACTAAAAAAACGCAAACAAATTCCAGTTTGATTCGAACATGCTTCAAAAGCCAGCAGAGTTGACACATAACTAGATTTCTAACTCCTTGTCCGTGTCATTAGCTCATTAGCATGACCTCATTAAATGTGGGCTTCACATAAAAAAATAAAATAAAATAAAATCACTGTACTTGACACGATGACATCTTCAAAGATACCAGGAAAAAATGGGCTACAATTACCTTTGAACTTGTGGAACACGGCCCACAGCTCTGCGATGTCGGTGGCAAAGGTGATATCCGTGTCAAGGACAATGACCCTCTCCAGGTTGGCAGGAAGAGTCTTGGTCAGGACGAGCTTCATTAGACCATAAATGCCTGAGTAGTGTTTGTTGGGGATCCAGGAGACTTCAGACTACATCAGGCAGGGAAGAGGAAAAAATAGAAAAAAAAAAAAATCATTACATTCATTTTTTTTGCATAAATATTATAAATAGTGCCTGGTACATAAGAAGTATTCAATAAAAATTTGCTGAATAAATGAATATTTTCTTAAAGATTTGTTTATGTAATTTATGGTCTGGCATGTGAAGTTTATTGGAAGAAAATGCATCTGAATCAAGGGAAAGGAAAAGCAATATTTATGATAGAACTATTATTTGCAGACGCTATGCTCAGATTTTTTAAATAAAATTTTTATTATAGAAATTATATACGCTCTGCTTGACTTATTTCACGTAAGCAGAGAAAAGCACTTATCATATGATTTCACTTACATGTAGATCATAAGGAATAGCATGGAGGACATTTGGAGAAGAAAGGGAAAATCAGAGGGGGAGATGAACCACGAGACTATGGATTCTGTGGGTTTTAGAAGGAAGTGGGTTGTGGGGGATGGACAAGCCTGGTGGTAGGTATTAAGGAGGGCACCGGTTACATGGAGCACTGGGTGTTTTACGCAGACAATGAATCATGGAACACTACATCAAAAACTAATGCTGTACTGTATGGTGACTACCTTTACATAATAAAAGAAAAAAAATTATATAGGGTCACTGGAGAAAAGAAGACTATGTTACAAAAGAATGAAAGTATAAAAATGGGATCATACTCTATTTTTGTTTTGCAAATAGTGCCTAATTGTTCCAAGGTAGATCTATTTCTTTCGATCATATTTTGTCATTAAAGGCTGCTACTTTAGTGGCATCGTTCAAGTTTATGCTTATGTATTTTTTCGAGTTTTAATTGGACCAATTAGTGTTGCTCTGTCTTCTGGTTCTCACACATACAAGAAGGACTTGTTCATAAGCTACGCAACACTCTTCACTGGGAAGCGAGAGAAGACACACCCACAGACAGTAATGAACAGCCCACGGACAGCCACCACTGAAATCCTCCCATGATGTAACAGGACAATCAAGGTCCCACAGGTGGGTACATCTGTCAGCAAGTCACACAGCTTGGTACCACCTGGTATCCAAAAACAAGGCTGAAAATAATACCAGTGTGCTGAGAGCTCTCAAAGGAACAGGTCATATGACTCCATAGCCTCCATCCTAGCTGCCCTGGGGGGCCTTGATGCAAGCCGAAACACACTTAAATTCTTCCAGAAATTAACATTGATAATGGAACTCCTCTGTGGAAAATGTGGCCACCTTACTGAGATTCCAAAAAACATTTACCCCTTTTGTCCCTATAATTCCATTCTGAGGACACTGTTCTAAAAAAAAGGCACATTTAAAAATGAGAAACCAGTTTTATTCCCAAAGATGTTCATCACCATGTTATAAAATAGAAACAATCCAAATGTCCCAAAACTGGACAGTTAATTAAAACTTGCTTTTTAAAAATCTGATAACATATTATTTAATGGCTATGAGCAATGTAGATTAAGATGTACCAAAAAAAAAAAAAACCCAAAAAACAAAAAAGAAACTTGCATGTGATGTTAAAAGAAAAAAGGCAAGTTTTTAAAAATTTCTTTTGCTTAATAACCACTATGTATAATCAAACAACATGAAAACACATCCACCCAAACTCACGCAGAGAAAGAAGAAACAAGCAAGGAATCAAGTTACTAACAGTGGTCATTCGGGAATGATGGGTCCCTCCTCTAGATAAATAGGTATGTACTTTACCACACTTTTCAACTTTTTAAAACAAGCAGCTACTATCATTGTAAAGAAAAACTAAGCATTGCATTCTTTTTAAACATAGCATCATCGGTGATGGTGGGAAAGCAGGGACGCAGACGTTGCCTTGGGAAAGCCAGAACAAAGGACCCCGTGGTAATTCACACAATCCAGCCCATCCCTCACACCCACTCCGTGTTCTGCGTTCCTCTTTACTTTACTTAAAAATACCATGTCAGCTACTCCTTATCCTCTCAATACACGTGCAATTTTGACCAGGGGAAAAAAAGGAAAAAAGGAAAAATATGAACTGATGGACAAAACCGTTCACCACTCATCAGCCTCAGGAAAAGAAACTTGAACTCTGTCTGTCGTCCCATCACCATGTTCCCGGGCAGCATGAAGGAGGGGAAGCAGAGACAAAAGCCAAAATCTGAACCCCACCCCCATACACGGTGTTGGTCTCTCTAAGCCTCAGTTTCTTTCCCTGTACAAAGAAGATGACACGTATATTAAGTGGTTCGTGTAAGGATCAGAGATGGAAGGAGTCTAGGGTTTTACACAAAAGCCCTGCAGAACACGGAAGCTCCCACCTTTCTCCTGGTTCCCCTCTCCCCCCTCAGCATGTCAAGTTTTTGCTTCCTACTGAAGGGAGGGTGGGGCTCCGGGGCATGGCACAGTGTTACAACTGGATCTGCAGCCAGGAACAGGCGGATCTAGATTCCGGTGTCACTTAATGGCCACATCACCTTGGACAAGTTCGTCCGGCCTGAGTTTCTGTTGTCTATAAAAGGAGTTCCTTGTACCGTGTGCCGCCTTGTGTCATTCAGGGTGTGGGAGGAGACAGCACACTCAAACTGGGTGGTCTGAGGAAAAGGGGTTAATAAAAGAACTACTGAGGCAGATGCGTAATTTAGAGCCAGCAGCAAGGAACCGTGCAGCACCTGGGAAGACAAAGAGTGGGGGGCCGTTATCCCTCAAGGCCCAGATGGCTGGTGCCGGCTGCCGCCGCTGGAATCTTGAGAGGGTGGCCACCCGAATAAGCCACGAGGTAGAAGCCATGAACTTCGGTAGAGGGCCACGGCCAGCGTTGGGAATCTCATGGGGTGGGGCAAGGAGAGGCCTCTCACTCAGCCCCTCTCCCCTCCTGCCCGCTCCTCTCCTGCCAGGGCGCCCCGTGTACCAACCCAAACAGACACAGAGCCACGGCCCGATGCAGCAGCCTCATGGGGCACAGGATAGGGTGGGGACGGGCCAGAGAGCAGCACCCGGAGGGGCAGACCTGTCACTGAACCGAGAAAATGGCATCAAGACCACAGCTGGAGGCCTTCTGCTGACTCGATCCCGCATGCTGTCTGTGAGGTGGGCGGGCAGGCGGGCACAGAAGGATGGACACAGAGAAGGACAGGCAGACCGGCTGGGTGGGTGGGCCAAAGGACGGATGAGGACAGGTGGGGAGGTGGGCAAACTAGGCTCGGGAAGGTGAGTGACTTGTCTACATCCCCTCAGTGAGTAAGATGCAGAGTCCTAAAATCTACCAAGGGAAGGCTTGCCTTCCTTCCCCCAGCCGCGTTATCCTTCCTCTGGAGCTGGCATCCTGATGCGCCGACGGCTTAGATCTCAGGGCCGAGGGCTCCTCCAAGAAGGGCCTCCAGTGGGCTTTAAAAAACTCCTCCTCGCGAAAGCTCCAGCCTTTGGAACTCAGCTCGGCCGCTTCTCTCTCCCCTGAGGACGGGCCCGAACCCAAGCTTGGCAATCACGGGTCCACGCGGCAGTGCGGTGCTATTTAATCAGACCTTTGATTAACTTATTCATCTATTTTGGTTACCATCAAAGCAGGAGAGCTGGGTGAGGACTGAACACCAGAGCGCTGGGCTGAGCCATCTAATTAGATCGCCCTGACTCTCGTCTTTATTTTTAACACACATGTGAGGCCCTTGGATGCATCACCGAACAGTAGGACGACAGGAATAAATTAATCTCAACATGAGCCCGGGCCGGAATGTCGCCCCAAGTCCCCAACTGATACATAATCAATTAAGGCAGAGCGTTCAATGAGAGGTAAAGGAAGCATTCGGAGGAGTTTGTATTCAGAGAGAAAACCCCAGAAAGAAAACCGAGGAATCTATGGGGGGATAGAACGTGTGGTAAGAAGCAGATATGTTTATTACAAACGATCTTCTCTCCTCGAAGTAAGTGTAGTGTGTCCCCCACCCACACCTTGTAGTCTAATCCTGCTCCCCTTTCAAGCCTCAGCTTAGAAGGCACCCCTGCCCCTCCCCAGCCCTCACCACTGGTCACTGCCTCCCCGGAGTGCCAGGCTGGGCCAGGGCTCCACGAGCGAGCTGCCTCCCCTCCTCCAGCACAGCGCGCCCTCACGCTGGGTCTCACTGTCCACATCTCCCGCCTGCTCTGGGCTGGAACTCCCTGAAGCAGGGACGACGTCATTTCTGCTGTGGTAACAACACAGTCATTACTTAAAAAATGGGGAACGTGCATGACTGCAGAGCTGGCCAGCCTGGTTTTAAATCCTGCCTCTGACGCTGAATGCAAGCAGTAGCAGAAACACCTGTAACCAGTGCAGCCCAGGGTTGGTCGGTCCAGGGCGACGGAAGACATGGGGCTTGCTGAGCCCCCAACGTCCAGCCGTTAGCCCCAGTTCCATCATTTTACCTCTGGGAGGCTTGGTTGTCTCGTCTGCAAAATGGGGGCTTGGAACACTCGCTCTGTAATACGGCTGGGAGAATGGCAAAGCGTCTGGCCTGGTGTTGGATGCCCAGTTGGCCGCCACAAAGGCCAATCGGCCTCTCCCGGTGGAAGTCTGTCTGCACTGAAGAGGCTCAGACAATTTAGGATGTTGAGCGTGACAAAAACAGGACATGACGCTGCCTTTGACAGCAAAGGGGAAGTCAGGAATGGAGATGGTTTTGTCAGAGGAAAATAAGTCACTCATCACCTTTCCCTATATTCCTAGATCATTTTTTTAAGGATTTTTATTTATTTATTTGAGAGAGAGAGAGAGAGAGAGAGAGACAGAGAGAGACAGAGGAGGAAGAGCAGGTGGAGAGGGAGAAGCAGACTTGGCACGGAGTGTAAACTCGATCCCACGACCCCGAGACTGTGACCTGAGCTGAAATCAAGGGTTGGATGCTCAACTGACTGAGCCACCCAGATCTCCTAGATTTTTTAAAAAAATTTATTTACTTATTTTAGAGAGAGAGAGGGAGGGAGAGAGAAAAAGCACAAGCAGGAGAGGGAGAGGGAGAGAGTCTTAAGCAGACTC